ATACATAACCTAAACATCTGTACCCCCATAATATGCTAAAATTAAAAAAAAAAAAAAGATGCTGGGGAAGATAAAACAAATAGTGATCTTACCCAGTGCCTTTAAAGAGACCACCATCTAAAATAAAGGTGACAGCCAGGGAAGGTCACGAGCCTTGACCTCCAATCCATCAGAACTCCCACTGATTCTTTCATGGAACCTATCTAAGATGAAAGGTTGTAATACTCTGAACGATAATATATTATTTCAATCTTCTTTTTATCATTTAAATGTAATAAGAAAGCAAATGATAAACTGTTACAGATGGAATTGAAATCACTTCAAGCCCTGAAAAGAATCCTTAATGGGAAAAGCTTGGACACGACTGCTTTTGAGCACTAGGCAGACACTTGACTAACAAGCTTCTTGTCAGTGGTGACCCCTGGGAGCCTCAGGACAAAGTCGTGTTAGGTCAACACGGACACCTACAGCACAAGGATCTTGGGAACACAAAATGGTCCTGGGCAAAATACTAGGGCAAGATCCTCATGAAATCTTAAACTGAATTCAAATCCCCAAACTCATTTCCAACCTGCTGCTCTTTTAGGCAATATTAATGAGCACATCTATATTCTAATTTTTCAATAGGCTGCACAGTCACGAAGTCTGAGTTCAGGGCCCAGATGTTTATGTGAGGTTCCAACGGAAGTGGCTCAAAGACTACTCAAGACAAGTAGCTTTACTCGCAAGACAGACTCTGGGGACTTCAAACATTAATTCACTTTTCCATTTCCAACTTGAAAGTAAGTTTAGATCTGCTTTATTCTACTAATGAGAAAGAAAGTGGTAATATTAGTGGGAAACTCAAGATATAGGATTAGTCTCTGGTAGGAAGATACAGGGAGGAACAGAGACTAGAGTCAGAAATTCCCAAGTTCCAGTGCCAAATTTGCATCACTGGCTTTGGCACTTTCCTTATCTACAAAACGGAGATAATCAAATCTAATTATGATTGTTGGAAAGACAAAATGAAATAATGTGGACACTTAGCATAAGCCTACAACTCTGAGTGCTCAAGAAATAGGAAATATTATTGTTAGTTAATGCCTTTGAAATC